GATTGTGATGCTGTATTTATGAGTGTTATATGTGCTGCAGAACAGGAACCTGCTGTAAAACAGCAATTATGCTGAGTCAGGCTTGATTTTTAATGATCTTTTCCTGTTACATAAATAAATCAAATCAAATCAAACCGAGTAATAAAGATCTGTTACCTTTGAATTAGTTTATTTTGCTGCATTTAATCATGAATACATCATACAAAACCCTATAAAAGTAGTGATAATTAAACAATATCAAAAACAAAAAGAACACWTTATGCCTCCTATTAGACACAAATAATATTTTGACATCTCTGACTTGCCAATTTTTTTTTATTTTCACTTTCATCGTTTTATCTTCAACTGCTTGTAGTTTGAACTGTATTGAGTGTTTATAGAAATGGTTTTTACCAGCTTGTAGCCAAGATTCTGACGTTTCTGTAGATACCAAACATGTCTATGTTTAACTCAAAGAACTCAGAGTAATTAAAGTAGAAATCCGGGGGTTTGGGCTTAAGAGATGAACTTTGGTCAATCGCGGGCCGAATGTGGCCCGCGGGCCGCCAGTTGAATAGCCCTGATGTAATTTTTAGAGCTTTTTTTATTTTTTGCAGAAAACTGTAATCATAATCAAACCCAACATTTTTGCTTTAATATCTGCCTGTCAATCAATGAGCTTCTGCTTGCTGAACTTATCAGCTGCTGCTCTGCTGCGCACTCATCTTCATCGTCTTCATCATCAGAGCAGARGCTGACTTTACATKARCAAGATGGATTTATGACTGAAGGAACGTCCAAGTCTTTGTTTTATCATCTCTGTGGGTAACAATACATAAAAAAGTTTCTTCTCCGACAACTTGGGTGTGAAAAAAAAAACTGTGATTKTTAAAGCTTCACTCTGCGAGACGTGCAGCAGGAGAGTCGGGGGSCATCCCGACGTAACTTTTCCACAGCGTAAGGGTAAATTTTGATTATTTATTCTCTCTATATGTGTTTTAAAACATTATAATTTCATCATATTTCGAACTCCTGCTCAGGTGTCTCTGCACTCACAGCCCTGCTGACACAGGTGTGATGATGTAACTGATGATAGGACGGTAGAGGGTAAATTTCTACCAACTTCATACGTTTCTACCGTCTACTGCTTATACCGCGCAGCCCTACAGCGTAGGGACCAATTCACGGTCCCCATGGGTCCAAATGCAAATTACAGGTGGAGGGTTACGTTTAGGACCGAGGTCTGAATTGAGTTTAGTTTTACGGTCAGGTAGGTGCCTGTGAGGTTAGTTTTGGGGTAAATCATCAGGGTTAGGATATAAAATTTCCAAAAAATGAATGAAAGTCAATGCATTGTCCCCATGGGGATATACAAACTAGACCTGTGTGTGTGTGTGTGTGCCTTTAACCTTTAACCAGCAGGACGTTTTCAGCACAAGTTTCATTCCAACCACACAGACGAGCTCATTAAAATAAATTTAAATATGGRATAAAGACAATGAAACTTTTTTCCAAACCTCTCAAAAATAGCAGCAATCAATAGTGATTTTCCCAATGTTGTGGGGTTTGGAAAATGATGTAATAATGGATTTGTTTTGGTCAGGTCTCAGTTTTCATTGACTTAAACTGTTTAAAGTCCTGAACTTTTAACTATATCGTTTCCTTTCATCAACTATACAGCAGGCTAGAGGGAAAACTGTGGGATAAATCTTGTGCCAGCAGGAACTGAATTTGAATAGCTCAGATTGAATCTGAATGTGCATAATTTGAAACTGAATACATTAGTTTGGAGGGTGTGCTCCAATAACAGGGGGGTCACACTCTTAAGCCTTCCTGGTAAGGTCTATTCGGGGGTCCTGGAGAGGAGGG